GCTATAGCGCAAACTTCGCGCTAAATATGTGCTATCTGTATCTTTACGACAGAAATTACCGGACAAGCTTGTACATGGATTTTAAGCACATCATGCACATGTACACGGACTGTTCAGGTTTCGGCACAGTCGATAATGCGCATTCTTTCAAAATTTTTCAAAACAGTGATTTAGGATGAAAAGTAAGAATTACAGTGATAAAGGATAACAAAGGATTCAAAAAACAATTATCCGTGTGTCACGTCTTGGCACAGATGTTTATTGTGCCACTCTGGCCGGATAGATACTGAATAATGAAATACTCGTAGTACCACATAAAATGCATCCTCTACAGGTCAACACAGCCATGCGGGTTGCTACGCGCTAATATGGCGCGTAGCCACTCACTACACTACACCGTGTATTCTCAGGTATTATGTGGTATGGCAGTACTGCAATATAATGGCTACATCATTACACATGCAAAAAATTTCAACAATTAAATTCGTGTTTGGCAACGCCCACTGGACAACTGCCGATGGAAGTATTTTTCTAAGTGTCCCCCATATCTATTCTGTCTTCCAACAAAAAACTGATTTTTTCTGAGGATGAAGACGATGACCGTGCCCTGGTGAGCTTGAATATACTGTAAAGGGATGGTCCTGTACAGATGTTAAACTTGACATGGAACTTGATTTTCCTCACCTTTCACGAATCCGACGACAGTGAGTCCGAGCGAGAACTGAATAGCGAACTGCGTCAGCTGGCCCACGAGCTGTACAACGTCACTTATGAGCCCGGAGTGCAGGTATTATAATGATTGAGAAAGCATGTACACCTTATTAACGTGATTTCCAAAGTCGTACCAAGTTAGATAAGAGATAATATCTCTGGTACTGAATAACGTAAAATTTGCTGGATGAAAATCAGTAGGAGTACGTTTCGTCATGTTTTTGTCAAATGCATTAAGTTGTACGTAAGAGGTGAAACGTGTGGCACGACCTGCAGCCTCACCGCTTGGAATTTCTCAAAACGGATTGCACATTCTCTTATTAGTTTTTTATGCTCTCCATGCTCGTTATCGATTTGATAAGAAATTATTATTTCTGCACAAGTCGAATTATGAATATAAGTGAGCCTTATACAAGTCATAGCAGCAGTCGGAGTGAGTGCGATTGTTGGCACAGACAGACTGTCGCTAGCGCGCTGCCTGTCTTTCGAGAAATGTTAATGAGGTGTGACGGCAAAAAAAGTACTAAATTTTTCCATAATATCTTTCAGTATAAAGAAAATTCCTGTATACCTTGGTCGTGTTGTAGCATGCGCAGGAAGGTTTCTCAGGAAGGTTACCAGCCATCAGCTGGTAGCTTATTCTAGAATTCTGGGCTTGCTGTTACTGTGTTATATATGCGACACAGTATGTCGCATTATTCATTGCTACGCACGTAATATGCTGCAGCAATTGCAGGTAAAAAATTAAACGTTCGTATATGTGGGTGCTGCAGACAGTATATTTGGGTGCAGCCTGTAGTGCAGCCTTACCGTATGACTTACAAAGTACAAGGCCAGTACTCCGTGTGTAACAAACGTGAAACGAGCTTAAATTGCATTGTATGATACTCCGAATGCATCGCTTGTGCAGCCGCTGAGCAATTACCCGACTCGATTGGCTTATACTTCCATCGAGCTTATTAGCGGTATCCTGGCCGACAATCTGGATGAATATCGCCGACTGCCTACTGCGCAACGCGCTGCTTTCTGTGCTGGCGACCATCTGGCGACGCTGCTCTTCAATCGCACCTTCGTGCTGCCGCACGCCACTGTGGCCGTTAACGCACAAGGCCGTTCCAGCATGGACGTCGACATTTGGATGTTCGATTCGAAAAGCAGGAATATGAGCGTAACTAATGCTTTACCACGGGATTCCCTGCTATCCTAAAAAACGGTTGACATTTGGCAGATGTACGCTGTGTATCGTTCCGTCAGCGCAGCACTGGAGCCGAGGAATACGTCAGATCGGGATTGGCCGAATGGCAGTCCGCCGCTGGATATACCGGTGTGTGGCTTCTCCGGACGGGAAGGGCCCTGTCGCGGTATGTTCCGCATGCAGTGTTTGGACTCAGATCCTTATAGCCATTCCGGCTTTCCCTTAACGACGGCGTAACTATGCTGCAGAACGGACCGCATCCGCCTTGAGCATCGCACTTCCGGTGGCCGTTGGCGCTGTGGTGGTAATTCTGGGTGCATCCGTGGTGGCGTTCTTTGCAGTTCGGTAAGATAGATCTTGTTCGCTCTTATGTGGAACACTTGTTTCACCTGAGCTTTATTTCATCACTGCAAAGAAGGCTGGGTGCATATTTGGCATCAGAATTATACGTTGTGCAAAAAACTTGCCGGTTCGCCGCCCGGAAAGCCTGTTGTACGTGGTATGGTTTAGAATGCTGACAAGCTTGCATGCGAAGGGGATGCTGCGAGAACCTCTCGGCTCGAGTTGTTTATGCAGTACCTCGAGGGAGCTGCTAGCTGCGCAGATTATAATAGCTCTAAAGGTCACAGCTAACTGAAAACAGCTATGAGTGTTACCAGGGACAACAAAAAAGCACTGAATCGTGGGTAGATGACAAGCCCAGATTTTTCTATCGTCCTTTACGTAAGAAAGAGGGACCGAAATCTAGTGAAGTTTAGAATCAGTTTCGCCAGCTTCGATAACTGCACACTCTAACATATGTATTAGTTAATTTTATGACCCACGTAAGGTTAGTATCGCAACCTCCCGTTCGCTGTCGCATACTACGGATTCGGCTATTACAGGAGAGCGCGACGGAACGACCGATCGCGTTACTGGTGGCTGATCAACGAGAATGAATGGAATGCCAGCCTGACTACGGCTGGGAGAGAGGCGGGCAATCCAGTATCATGGAGAAACACAACCGTCTGGCTAACCATGATGAACATCGGCGACACTCGTCCCGACCTGCTGCTAAATGCGGATCTCGTGCCCGATACAACGGTTAGCGTCATTCCTGTCTATATTTCACTACCTCCGGTCTGCCAGTTTATAAGTGAATACTTCGATCAGTTCGATGATTTTCGTAATCCAAATGCTTAGGTGGAAACAACACGGATGATTCCGTGTCCGGTGCCAGGAATGTAAAGACAATATTATGATCGTCTGTACATAATTATAGATACACTACATAGATGTACAAGCTTGTCCCGTAATTTCCATCGCATCGGAACAGCGAACATTACAAATTTACGTGTTGCGCGTAAAGCCGTACTACGGCGCGCCACGCCACACTGCTTAAACACGTAACATGCATTTGGCTGGCTGGTGGCTTGGTACAAGCCATATAATTCAATGAGAATAACAGTAACTGCCTGGCGTAAGGTGGCTAAGAAACGGTCGGTGTGGTAATGGACAATCTATCTACGGAGCGGATTTAGGCAATCAGATAAGCGTAGTGACGTGGCCATCGTTTCAAGCGCAAATTTCGCGCTAGCTGTACCTTTACGATGGAAATTACGGGACAAGCTTGTAAATTCCTAAAAAAGCACAGTAATTAACCAGCCAACCCGGTATTTTGCTTTGCCTGATTTTACAGCATACCAACGTCAACACGCTGTTGGGTGTGGTGATTTTGTCGCATCAGGCCATCCTTATTTCGGATTACTGCAAACGCGGTTCCTTGATGATGCTGCTTGAAGTATTTCATATCGATCAGGATTTTCAGCTGTCTATGGCCCGCGATCTGGCCGAGGTAAACCGCAGTCCTGGTAAACCGAGCGATTGACAGTCCTTCATATTAAGATATTCGTCCGTTAGGGTCTGAATTATTTACACAACAGCATCGGCCGAGCGCATGGCTGTTTATCTCCCCGCCAATGCCTCATCGACGATCATTTCACTCTACGCATCGGTCAGTTCGGCTTCGCCGCCATTAATCACGCCCTCTCGCTGGACATAGCCTCGGAAGTTCATGCTACCAATAAGGAATCGGTTTTCGCGGCTGACATTAGGGCAACCGGAAAGATACTTCTGGTAATCGTCTTTCAGGCGACTAGCGAAACCTCCTCCCGGCTGGCCATCAGGGCTGCGAGGGAGATGCAGATTGAAGAGATAGAAACGGCAGATCACGACGTCCAGCTACTGCTCACACTACTGGCCAACCGTTGTCTGCACAGTAGCCCCGTTTCGCGCCCCACGGCAAAACAGTTGCTGACCGCCGTGGGACGGCTGCGTGTGCCCGGACAGCCAGTGTCCCGCAACGTCGTCGAAAGCGTCATCCGGCGCTTTGAAGCATACACGGTGACCCTGGACGAAGCGGTGCGCGTGAAGACCGAGGAGCTGCAGAGCGAGCGGAAAAAGTGTGACGATCTGCTAAGCGAACTGCTGCCTCGGTAGGTCAGCCTGTCCGCTTTTTCCGGGTCTCACAACTCAGGTGTTTAGGTTTTTATGTGTCCACGGACACAAAGAATCATTTTTTATGAAGGTCAAGTCAAACATTTGAAAATGATACAATGAATCAAAGCTATCCAAAGGAAAATGCAAAGTGCTGTGCTATTCGACGTTAGATAGTCTTTAACACAGATGGGACATGTTCCATTGGGGCTTGAGAAACAAGCAACTGATATGAAGACTGAGCAAAGTCGGTGTGATTCCGGAGCTTTGCTGTCTTTCATGAGAAGAGTCTTCACTGAAGACTCTATAAAGGGTGGCCTGTCAGTCTCAAGAAAAATTAGTCCCAGCTGCTAAAACGCAGGAATGTTTAGCGCGATATCCGGTCAGCATCCCGAGTGGCTCATAAAATGAAAACACGAACTGGCGAAGAGCGCTCTGTAATATGCCTCAACACAGTCCCAGTTGGTTTCACAAAGCAGGCTACAGGAATTACGAAGTCGATTAACACAGCAGCACGGTCCCGCCGTGGAAACCTAAAACATCTTCTGAAACCTTAGGCAACCTGCCAAAAAAGATGAAAAACTGATCGACTAAGAAGCTCAGTGAAAGCTTCAGAAACATGATTATTGCGTAGAAGCGTTGTGGATCGGCTGCGTAACCGCGAGAACATGATAGCAGAATTCTACAAATCTGTCACCGTCTCCTTCTCCGACCTGGATAACTTCGTCGACTGGATGAGCAGCGTCCCGCCCGTGGCTGTCATCGGCACCGTCACGGCGTTATTCAGCGCATTCGATGGAGCCATTCAGGAGTTTGACGTGTATAAAGTGGAGACCGTGCGGGACAGTTACATGGTCAGACTCTACCATAGCATTCTTACGTGCCCAAAGAGAACTGTCGCCGCCTTGGCTGTTGCAGGCCGTCAGCGGTATCCCGGTTCGATGCGACAACCAGCATGCGGTGGAGATTTGTCGGATGGCCTTCACATTGCTGCGGGTGTTTGCCGGTAGCGAGGCGGCGGTCATGAGTACCGGGGCGCCAACAGATGGTCGAACGGTAGTTGCGCATCCTCAGGTTCGTCCGCACTCGTTGCTGGGACTGCGCTGCGGCATCCACTCAGGTAGGCTCTTTCTAGTTGATGGCCGCCTAGAAAATATTGGTAACATATGCTCCTAAAGGTAACATATGCTCACATATTGGTAACATATGCTCACATATTGGTAACATATGCTCACATATTGGTAACATATGAACATATTGGTAACATATGCTCACATTGGTAACATATGCTCCTAAAGGATGACCGTTCCCATCATCAGAATCCAGTACTTAACTAACAATTTGTGCGCTATCGTTACTTGCAGGACCCTGTGCTGCCGGAGTCATCGGCATGCGCGTTCCCCGTTACTGCCTGTAAGCAAAAATAACCAGCCACCATATCGCAAATCACTTGCAGAGGTTTGTAAGGCTGGACGACCTTTGCAGTTTCGGCGACACGGTAAACGTGGCTGCCCGCATGAACACCAACGGCCAAGGCGGTCGTATCCACCTCAGCCAGGCCAGCCACGATCTCCTCGCTGCCAAAACGGACAGCCATCGCTTCCGTCTGCAAGAGCGTGGGCTGCTGTTCGTCAAGGTATGTGGCTGGATTCTCTGAATGCTAAACTAATTGCTTTTTTTCGGCCTCTTAGTCGATGTGGTTAGGTAGCAGTGTCGAATTTCAGGGCAAAGGAGCCATGCTCACTTACTGGCTGGATCCATGATGCGCGGGTCACAACCCTGGCTCCCGAACCCAAACGAGACAGTGAAAGAATATAATTATATGACTGGGATAAATACTGTTCTAGTAGCCAATGCACAGTCTGCACTGATCGTCCACTATGCCGACAGCGTAACGTAACGTGCCGATACGACTACGCTTCCGTGGCACGACACAAATACTTCGATTACTGCCTTATATGGGCTCCCCTTATATTGCTCTCCCTTATCTGGGCTCCCGAGCAATATGAGCAACCCTCTACATGGGCGGTTACGTTATTACTCACACTTTCGTAGCTGTTATCAGTGTTATTACGGACTGAAAATTTTGATTTATTTAAAATCTTACTTTGCCAGCCAAAAAGCCTAGTGTACGCTAAAGAGTACACTTTGCCAGCCAATAAGTACGCTAAAGAGTTTGAGTCGATCCGTTTGAAAAATATATATAAATAATATATATAAATATAATTCGGATGTGAAATTTCGGAATTCTTTGGTCTGCTCACTGGTAAATCCGGTTGAAAAGAAGTAGAAAAGGGTTCTGATATAAATCCGATAAATATAATTTGACGGGTACTGCTAACTAGCCGGGAGCCCAGATAAGGGAGAGTAATACAAGGGGAGCCCATATAAGGCAGTATTCGAAGTATGAACATAATATATGGATATTTATTTGCAGTATTCATATCAGCGAGCACCACTCAGGAAATAAAATCAAATGAAAAATTTGTCCCAGTTTACATGGGACGGGACTATATAATTATACAATTGAAACAGCATCGGCTTCGCCTCCGCGTTTCTTGTGGTCATCGGCCACTTCATTTAGTTTTCAATGAATATTTATTAGAATAACATATTTCGCCGAAACATAATCGGTACACCGTATTAATGCAAAAAAAACGGATTTTATTAACTGACCAAGGTACCGGTTCTGTCCAGTTCTCGGTACTGTTCAGTGTACGGGACCCGTTACGCGACCCGGTAGATCAGCCGATTTACCGGTTCTGTCCAGTGCACAGATCCCGTCAGGTGAAGGAATGACCGAGCTTCCCCAACCCATGCATGCAGATTCATCTGGTTGAGGTCCACAGAATTGTTATTATTCAGTTTGAGGGAATCATGAACCGATAAAAAAAATCATCTAAAATTAAATTCCGTGTTTTTATAGCTTGGTCACCCGTTCACCGAACGGCACTGCACATTACCGGTAGCTTGGTCACTCGTTCGCCTAACAGGCCCCGTAAACTGGACAGTACCGGTTGCTTTGTCACCCGCTTACTTTACGTTGTCCCGTGCACTGGACAGTTACGGTAGCATGATCACTCGTTCGCCTAACAGGCCCTAATAACAACTTTGGCGTTCGAAGCGGGAGAGGTTTAGAAAGAAATGAATGCTATCTGGCGGGGTTTTTGACTACGGGCTTTCAGAATATAATATTGGTTTTGGTCAGTTTTTCCTGGCTTGCCGGCTCTGGTGTATCCCATTCGTGGCAGTATAGATCTGAATTAGGATAATTAGCCAGAAGATGTCGCACAAGATGAGGTCTAGCTACTACTGGGCTTTGTACGTTTTGATCACATAACCAGTGGCGTAGATCTTTTTCTAGGGTTCTGTTTTCCAAAGATCTCTTTTCCAGTTCTATCAGAACTTATTATTCGTATGGCGCGCTTAACGTATTGTATATTCTGGGATATTGCGAGCTCAAACAGACTTTGGATGCAGCTATAAAGCTGGGTATAAAGTGACATGCACCTATCGCGATCAATGCTGGAATAAAGCGCCGTGCACCAGGATTTTGTACGGTCTTGCGCTTATTGTCTGACACCGCCATCGGCCGCGAATATAAAACAAAAATCAGTATGTAAAACAAAGCCACCGAGGTACATCGGCTATGTAAAGCGAGCCAGAAAAAAATTCGTGAACATCAGCAGTTCAAAATACCGGCGAATACATACTCCATGTAGGAATGTGTTCATTGCTAAAGCGACCGAGCAAGGGCCTTGTATTGTAATTCTTCGATATGAACGGTAATCAATTATATTTCATATCACAAAGAAAGTCCTAGGTATAATATTCACGGAGCTGCTGACCCGACTGCGGGGTCGGTGGTTGAAGTATACGGTAATGTCTGCACGTGCCTGGGCTGGCCTACCGGAAAGGAAAGGCTGTCTTTTTGTAAATAGGAACTGAGACAAGTATCTAGGGGGCGGATCGCACGTTCTCAACATTAGATGGGACATACAACTCAACACATCTTAGTAATTTAGTGCATTGATTAACCATAAGCAACCACTTAGTTCACCTGTTATTAAGGAGGACGCCGCGACTGCACTGGCCACCTTATCCTTTAAACCAGGGGAAGGCACAAATGTTTGATTTCCCTTTCATAGCGCCTGCATTTCTTGTCGTAAAAATCAGATAGCGCCACCGTTCCTGCATTTATTATATTGTCTTATAATTAAATCGCGTGCTCCCTAGTCCGATCAGGTTGTAAGGTTTCGCTTATATTAGAGTTTAACTCGTACACGATAATAACCATATTATTGGGAGCCGGTAGGTGATCTTTCGATGTATGCGTGTATTCCTCTAAAGTCTAAAGAGTACTGCTCTACCCCATCATCTCCAAACTGCTCGACCCTGCACTTATCGTCAGCCTATGGTTAACGTTTGTCAATATCAGGAAAATTTTCACATAAATATTGATCTGATGCTTCTAAACTCTTTGTGAACAGAGGTTTATAAAGACAGCCAAGTGTTTCTCTTGATGTTATTCCCCTCGTTACGGAATTGGTTTAAGTTTGTGAGACATCGCATCATGGTGGTTCGGGATCTTTCCAATATTTTAAACTCATATTGTTCGGACAAAAACTTTCGATACTGAAGATATCGATGTGGTCAGGGTACTGCTACCGTATAATAGGAAACCGCTGCAATGCCTTTGTGCTTCAGACTGGTCACCTTCGGCGCGGTGATGCTGCTCGCGGCTGGAATCAGTGCTACCGTTCGCATGTGGGCGGGACCGGCAGCAACGATGCTCCGTCTGTCGCTAGACCGCGCGAGAACGAATTCACCGCACCTCTTGGGGCTGCCACCGCTCACCAACTCGACCATACCGTCCACCCCAACGACCACGGAGTCCTCGGTGGAACACCAACTGCTTGGGAACTCCTTTGGACCCTGGCAGAGCATCCATCCGTCCGACCGTGGACTGCGCCGACGCTACATGCTCATCCGACAGGAACATGCACGGAGGGCGGCCAATCGCGGCAACCCGGCATTCGCATCGGGCAAGGGAGTCATTGTAAAGGATTTGCTGGATATCGGCATAGGAATGGGATTCACGTAGCTCCGCTGAATTGTGGAGCTGCTCCCTGTCTTTATTGACAGCAACGACATGACAGCAAAAACGCGCACCACTGAAAAGATATCGTTACTCTTTCTGTCGCCCGACATTCCATAGACAAAAGAATTTCTGATTGGCAACAGTCAACTGTAACGTGATTCATATTATGTCTGTGACTGTTGCCTTTAGAGATTCTGCCGAGCTGATTGTCTAGTTCTTCTACTCGTACCTACATGCTAGTCTGTTGATATTCTATGCCTAGCTTTTAGAGTTCGCAAATCGTCAAGATTTCAGTAGCGAAACGGAAATTTTCAGCCTTTTGGAAAAACGTGACGAAACTTAACTGCTTGTAAATTTGGGAAAATAATAACGAAACTTAGCGATTTTACTAGACCATGAAACGAAACTTAGCGATAGCGAAAAATATTTTGTTTACGAAAAAACGAAACTGAGCGAAAAATTTTAAAAGAAAAAATGCTTACTGAAACTGAGTCTAAATTTTGCTCATGTGCACTTCAAACCAGGAAAAAACTGTCGAAGCCAATAATTATTGGAAAAATTAAAAGAAAATAGCTTAATTTCGCGCGAAGCGCGAAGCTGACGTACAGATTTGCTTAAAATCTGCCAGAAATTTAAAAAAAAATACGAAAAAATAGCGAAATTTTTAGCGAACGAAAGTAGCAGTAATAACTAAACGAAGCGAAAAGCTAAGTTGAAATAACGAAGCTTAACGAAGCTGTATCTTTTGGCCCTGAAAACCTGCGCGAAGCTTGACGAACCGCTTCGTTAACTATCGTTACGCTTCGTCATTTTGACGACTTACGGACTCTACTAGCTTTATTAGTCACAGTGACAGTCATCATACAGTCACATAACTAGTCGATCGACTAAATAATGCACCAGCACGATTAGCTCCAGTAAAATCCTTCGTTACAACACCGGTACATAGAAACCAGAGCTATGGACACTAATTAAAATGATTCAAATTTACACATTAAAAAAATAACCAAAACCATTATTAGTACTGAGAGGACGCGCATTTAGTTTTTCCAGTACAGCTGCCGCATTTCTTCTAAATACTACTTACTCATCAACTTTATTTGCAATATGTACGGAGACGAGCATCGCTCACAGAAATACATTCAAATGAAAAATTTGTCCCAGTTGGCGCGAGAAGGGACCGTACATAACACACTCATGGCATTCCCACGCATTATTTCCAAACTTAAACGCTGAAACAAAAAACAAGTAGAGCGGCTCTCGCCCGTCCTTAAAAACAACTTCTTCCAATCTCCTTTAACATAACAATGCCGGTC